TATTCCTGGACGGAACACCTGGCACCAGCAAGAATGACAGAGGGCAGAAGGATCCTACCATCAAAGGTGATCTTCACAACCCGAAATGGCTGATGGCGACAACCACGAGGGAAGACGGGTAAACGTGTCCAACTGGACGACAGAATGGTCCTGGGCAACGAGGACATGCCGATTATCTTTGTGGCAGTCCTGTAGTCCTAACGCTGGTTGCAGCATGGGGGTGGGAGAACAGTGCCAACACTGGCATTCAACCAAGCGTTCTTTGAGACCTGAACAGGGTCTTACCAAGGCAGGATACGGCGGCCAAGTGGGTGGCTGCATCCTGAGGAGGAGCAGCAACGACACGTATACAGAGACGGGTGAGGTTGAAAGTAACAAGAGGCATCTACCGAATCAACAAAGTGTCAAAGGAGGGAGAAATCTTCAAGAGGTGGAGAATCCAGAGCGAGGAGATCAAAGTATTTGGCCCACGAAGCGGGACCAAACATGGCTTGCTACGCATTATTACAGGAAGGGATCGTGTGAGTGTGGCTGTGGTCCATGCATTGAGAATCCCCAGAGAGGGGTTAAATGCCACAGTTGTCACAATGAGAGATGGAGCCGTGCCAGGGGACGAGGTGGTCACCACTGGGGGTTTGTGGCTCTACCCAACCACAGAGGAGGGAGGGGAGTAGTCAGGAGGCTCAAAGGAGGAACAAGGTCAGGGCCCAATGCAGCGGGGGCTACAGAGCCCGGTCTTCCAACACAGTCCGACTCGGGGGGCTCGGTCGCCCACCCCACGAGCCCGAGAAGGTACAAAAGGAACAGTACGTAACATAAATATGAGAGGACACTCATTCACAAATGTGCCCCCACACCCACCATGGAGCCACGAAGGCCAAAGGAATAATCAAAACTGGCAAAAGGTCGGCGGGAAATGACAATGAGAAAGAAGAGGGGGGAGAAAAACGAAACACAAGGAAAAGGAAAAGTTATCCGACAGAATTTGAGAAGACAGCAGCAGGAGCATAAGGCTACAAAAGGACAGAGGACTGACCCATGGAGCAGCACACTCCAGCAGCCACCCACCAAGCCCCCTCATGGCAACAATGGGCCAGATAGGGAGGGGGTGTGATGAATAGTTTAACAAGGTGGGTGGTGGTGTCATCAATAAGCTAAATAAGGTGGGTGTTGTCATGTTCATAGAAAACGGTACCATCCGTTTGTATGTGCTGCGGCTCGGACGCCAGCAGAGGGAGGTAAACAATAGAGCGGACAGGATGCCCGCCAAGCTTGGTAGCTACTAGTCATGTAATCGTTTATAAGTATTAAAGTCAGTAACCAAGCAATGGCTTTATATCAACCCTACAACCAAGACTTCCTCAGCAACACACAAACACCACACTGGTGACAAGGATGAACTGTGAATGCAGGTATTTGTTCAGCTCAAAACAAGACAGAAGCATGCTGTCTCTCCCGGGAGGAAGAGATGTCTGTGCGCGCCCTACCGATGCTCTGTGCTAACCAATGCTGTGTGCTAACCGATGTTGTGTGCTAACTAATGCTATGTGTTGACAAGCTGTATACTGAGGAATCTGCGATCCATGTGTGCCGATGCTGTGTACGAAACGACGGTTTGATGCTGTGCACAAAACCAGATGTTTTGTGTACGAAACGACGCTTCTTGCTACAAAATTCATCATGCTGAGAACTCTGCTGTGTTGACAGTGCTGAAAACTCATCAAACAACAACATTGCTGACAACTGCTGTGCAGCTGTACGTAGGAACACCACCACATGTACACAAGGCTAGGTAAGAAGGCAGTTGCTGCTATATTGTGCAGTGTTGTGAACTTTTGCATTAAAATGCTTGTGTGCTTTGCAAAATTACAGTGAATTCTTAACTAACATATACAGGGCAGAATTAAAGTAATTACAGTGAATTCTTAACTAACATATACAGTGCAGTAAGTGTTTAGTATTCTGAGCAACATTTTAAGTGATTAGTTTACTTTTATACAGTAAAAAATGGCAAATATACCTCAGTTTCCTGCATTTGATCCTGACTGTGACCAGACAAACCTGTCATAGAGGTGGACCAAATGGCTTAAAAAGTTTGAAAATTTGTTGATAGTTTCAGACATCAAAAGTGCTGAAAGAAAGCGTGCCTTTCTACTTCATTATGCAGGTGATCGAGTTTGTGACATCTTTGATACACTGAAAGACACTGGTGGTGCCAAAGCCAAATTAACAGAACATTTCAAACCAAGACAAAATACTGCAATGGAAATTATGCATTTCAGGAGAGAGAAACAACTCTCCAATGAAACTGTATATCAATACCACACACGCCTGCAGGGTTTAGCAGCCCATTGAGTTTGCTGATGTTGACAAAGAAATCAAACAGCAAATAATTGAAACATGCACATCTACACGTCTCCGTCGAAGAGCTCTAGAACTTGTTGATGATGACAGTTCTCTTACCAAGATACTGGATATGGCTCGTCGAATGGAAGATGCTGCATGTGATGCTCGGGTCATGGAGTGCAGTGCCAACAACGGTTCTGCCACTGTTACTAACAGTGATGAGGTACGTAAGGTTCAGGGAGGACACCGTGATCAAAGAAGGTATCATGGCAAACCTAACAGCAAATTGAGCCGAGAACCACATCACAACTGGGGTCATGGAACAATACTCAAGCAGTCACAACGACCCACATCAGAGGGTGTCAACAATAAATGTTATAATTGTGGAGGAGACTACCCACACCAAGATAATGTTTGTTGTCCAGCTCAAGGTGAGAAGTGCCGTGTGGAAAACTAGTCATAGAATGCAATGCTCCATACTACATTCCATGTTGTTAGGAATGCAAAGGAGTCTCTACTCAGTTACAAGACTTCACCCAAATTGGGGCTACTTCAGTTTTCTAATGCTGTAGCAGTGGAAGCTGCAAACAATGTTGATGCTATTGTTGCTGAATTTTTTAATCGATTTGAACCCATGGCTTGTTCTACTGATAGCAAAGTTCATCTGCACATCAACCCAGATGTAATTCAAATTGCCGAGGAATATGTACACTCTGTAACCTGTGATGCAGTCCCTAAGGCTCTCACTCTTGATGAAATCCGTACTGCAACCCTAGAGGACCCAACTCTGCAAGCATCAGTGGATGAATTGACTAAGAAAAAGTTTCAACGCATCCCACCCTCAGGAGTTGACCAAGATGCATTCAAAGCACTTGAACGCATCCAGACAGAATTAAGTGTTACGCAACAACGCGACACCGTGCTGCGAGGTACTCGTATCGTCATTCCAGCTGTTCTCCAGCAACGTGCTCTGAAGCTTGCACATCAAGGACACCAAGGTCTTGTTAGGACCAAGCAGCTGCTACGAGAAAAGGTGTGGTTTCCTGGCATTGATCGTCAAGCAAAGGACATGCATGATGCCTGTGTCCCTTGCCAAGCTGCAGTGGATACTTCAAGACCAACACCTCTACAACCTTCACCACTACATGCTGCACCATGGACGGAAGTATAGATGGACTTCTGCGGACCGCTACCAACTGGAGAGTACTTGATGGTAGTCATTGATGATCACTCACGTTATCCAGAAGTAGAAATCATCACTTCCACATCTGCAAAGGCTGTCATCCCGAAACTCGACAAGATCTTCTCAAACTTTGGCATTCCTGAAGTTGTCAAGACGGACAATGGACCGCCATTCAATGGACAAGACTTCGTCAACGTTGCTGAGCATATTGGATTCAAACACCGCCGTTTGATGCCACTACATCCTCAAGCAAATGGTGAAGTCGAGAGATTCATGCAACCTCTCATGAAAGCGGTACGCTGTGCTCATGCCGAAGGACGATCCTGGAAACAAGCTATGTATGCTTTTCTCTGGAACTACCGTGCAACACCACATGGAACACTGGGCAAGTCGCCTGGTGAACTTTCATTTGGACGTCCTATGAGGATCTCACTACCTGTCATGCCAGCCAAGGTAACGGATAAACGTCTCGCTCAGAAGGATGCACTAGCCAAGGGCAAAATGAAAATTGCTCTTGATCAACGTGTAAAGGAACAATTCATAAAGGTTGGAAACACTGTTCTAGTTAAAAAGAAAAAATAGGGGAAGCTAGACATGCCGTATGATACAAAACCATATAAAGTGATTAGTGTAAAAGGAACTATGGTAACAGCGAGTAATAGAGATCATAGTATAACACGTAATATGGCTTATTTCAAAGTGATTCCAGCTAGCGTAGAAAATGAAGTGCAAAGTCGTACAAACGATAAAGAAAAAATGAGTTATAACCCGACAAACAGTTCATCAAGGGATATTCTTGTATTTAAGGACTCTCGTCCTAAACGTCATGTTAAACGCCCTACACGATTTGATGATTGTGTAATGCAAAGTATTTACTGATTATGCTAAACTAAATTTAATATTGTTTGAATAATGCAGATATCTCATTCAATATTTTGTAACTTTGTATTAGTTTCTTTCATTTTTATTTAACATTGCATATATATTTTTAACATTGAAATCCTGTGTGATAAAGATTAAGTTGTTTAAATTCTTTGTGTGCTTAATTAATGTTAAATGTATGCAATATCTCTTGATATGTTAATAACTTACTTTGTGTCAATAACTTTGCTTTGTGCTACAAGCATGGAAGACATCCTGTATTTATTCTTTTTTAAAGAAAAGGAGGGATGTCATGTTCATAGAAAACGGTACCATCCGTTTGTATGTGCTGCGGCTCGGACGCCAGCAGAGGGAGGTAAACAATAGAGCGGACAGGATGCCCGCCAAGCTTGGTAGCTACTAGTCATGTAATCGTTTATAAGTATTAAAGTCAGTAACCAAGCAATGGCTTTATATCAACCCTACAACCAAGACTTCCTCAGCAACACACAAACACCACACAGGTGATGTGATGAATAGCTCAGTAAGTTAATGAAATTGATGTAATGAACATTGACAATTGTTTTTATTATACCAATGACAAACAAAAGTATTATTATACATTTACTAGGTGTTATTTTACATTAGTGAAAAATCCTTTCAGGTAAGTAAATTTTCCTTGGAAGACATAATAAAAAGTGACTTCAAGTATTCTTTTTAACAAGCATTAATAAATATTTTGGCAAGTGTATAATAATGTGTTGAAGGTTACAAAATAGTTGGAGATACTTATAGTCTTATTACACAAGTGAGTGAGAAATACCAGCACTTAATTTTATGTATCAAATTATAAAACTATTATTATCTCTGTAAACAATACAAAATATTTTTTTTATGTAAATAATTAAAACTGAACTAATCAACATATATTTAACTGCATACTTGTTCATTAAAAATAATCATTCATAGACAGTATTACATATTATATGAATTTTGCTTGATTAATTTATAAGTTTTACTGAATATTACAAATATAAACTTTTTTTCAGAAATGGTTGAACGCAAGACTTCACTATGAACATAAGTTTGTGATTGATACGTGCAATGCCACTTTTGTTTACAAAACAAATCAAACAATTTAATATTTGCATTTATTGATAATTTAGAACAAGCCATTTATTCTCTTTGATTTAATCCTTTCCTGATAACCATATACAGTATTTTGAATATTGCACTTAAGTGGTTTTGTAATTATTTCCATGGAGAAAAATAAATCCTCATTCTTTGATGTTTGATAAAATTAGACTTTCTTTTGATAAATATCTTAGATGAGAAACTTTGATATTTCATAAACCTGCTCCTAGCTAACAGGGGCTTGTCCATTTTCTTCCCTAACTCACTCTCTTGGAAAGTTCTTCCTTTATTCCTGACAAACTCTTCAACCTAAGATATCTTGTCCAACACGTTGTTCAATGTTAAGCGAACAGTACACCTGAAAAATAAAGAAATTTGGCTATATTTTCATATATCAACACGATAATTAAGATAAAAAAATAACACAATTCTCTCGTATGTCATTTCATGATGGATATCACATGGATAACATGGGTGTAACATGCTACATTTATTCCTTTAAGTAAGAAATTATCAAAAGGCACCAAGCTTGAAAGGCTATGTTACACCATCAAATGTGAGGGATAAACCTAGGGCGCTAAATATCACTATGGATGCCAATACGAGAACTTAAGTGCATATGGCGAACGATATCAAAGGTATCAGATTCGCCAAGAATTCTATCATAGGAGAATTAACCAAGAGGGACATTCGGGAAGCATGACACATGCACGTCTTGGAAGTCAGGACATTCAACAAGGATATGGCATGACCTAAGAGGGACAAATGCAGTTTGGACAATAAGGAGCAGGGCGACACTCCATTTAGTGCCCATGAGTTAAGTGTGTATGGTCAATATGTAACCTCGCTAGAGCCATTTCCCATTGCCGACGGTGGTAGGAGGAAGGCCATGGGGACACAATACTCTTACGAGCACACAGTTTGTTACCAGTAACAGAAGACCAACGACCCTGCCAAAGGACAAGGATGGAGGAATGAATAACTTGGTAAAATTCGGAATAAGGAATATCTTTATGGGAGATGGGACAAGTGCGGATAGCTTCCTGAACGTTAGCATCCGCACGTTTATTTAGGGACACCAGCATTTGGCTGGAAACCCAGCAAAACTCCTCTTTCTTAAATCTACTTGAGATAAGAAACAGCCAATGCTGAATTTCGACAACCACGGGATGAACTAGACTAAAAAAAATGCCAGATCCATGAGGCAATGTGAGTCAACTACAAAAACAAAGGAGGATTGATGGCAAGAAAGCAGTTGACGAAGAGCATAGTGAATAGCATAAAGTTCTGCCATAAAGAAGCTAGTCTCCGGAGGCAGGCGACAGATAGGTGTCGTTAGGAAAAACAACAGAGTAGCCTACACCGTCTGCAGATTTAGACCCATCGGTGAAGAAAAGTGTTAGAAGAAAAGGCGTTTCAGAACTGAAGGAGGGGTAAAAGCTTCAGTCACTTGGGTCAGGGTTTTACAAAATTTAGGAAGGGTGACCCTCCACGGGGACAAGAACGGAACAACACGAGGAGATATATTGGTAACACTAACCAACAGAGAATTCTGTACACGAGTCAATTGTACAGAAAGAGGGAGATGGTGATGGGGGACAGGGACCACAAGAGGGCAAAAGTCAAAGTGGTGGTACACTGAGTTTAACCAACCACCAACTGGCGGGACACTAAATGTAGGTAACCACCAAGTTCCAGTACACTTTGAGCAACCAACCATCATGTGGCGGTGCACTGAATGTAACTACTAAGTGACGGTGAACCGAGTGTAGCCAACCTATAAGTGGCAGTGTAACAAACCACCAAGTGGCAGTACACTGAGTGTAGCCAACCACCAAGTGGCGGTGCACTGAGTGTGACCAACCACCAAGTGGCGGTGCGCTGAGTGTAGCCAACCACCAAGTGGCGGTGCACTGAGTGTAGCCAACCATCAAGTGGCGGTGCACTGAGTGTGACCAACCACCAAGTGGCGGTGCACTGAGTGTAGCCAACCACCAAGTGGCGGTGCACTGAGTGTGACCAACCACCAAGTAGAATATAGTTGTGCATTAATTGGCTGTTGATTGCTGGTGTTGACTTCTTGGTGTGTAATGCCTCGCAAACGTCAAGCCGCCTGCTATCGCTGTATCTATCGATGATTTCTGTGTTGTTTACTAGGATTTCTCTGGCGATGGTTTGGTTGTGGGAAGAGATTATATGTTCCTTAATGGAGCCTTGTTGCTTATGCACATACGTTTGCGAGGCATTACACATCAAGAAGTCAACACCAGCAATCAACAGCCAATTAATGCACAACTATATTCTACCCACCTCAAGACTCCGCTCCAATATAGAAGCATCAAGAAATATGGACCAATAGGCTTTCTACAATCACTTCTATTCAATACCCATTGTTTCATGTTCTGGCTTGTGTTGATGAAATTAATACCTTATTAAATACCACCTCACCCCATCCACCTCACTCAAATGTAGATATAAACAAAATCGGAGATGTGTAAGTTCTATTCAGTTGTGTATGTGTTAACTAAAGTCTTTGAAAATGTAATAAGTTTTACGAAACGCGCTCAAGTGTCGCGTCAGACTAGAAATAAAAATGAATTTTGGAGAATGGATTTTTGAATTACCTCCAACAGTGAAAAGAAATGTACGAAAGATTGAGAAAATTCGTGTTAGAATTATTAATCTTACTCTTTTTCGGTCATATTTAATAATATATATATATATATATATATTTATATATATAGGTCCTGAAAGATATTGTTAATAGAAACGTTATCCCTATCCCGTTATAAAACAGCATATTATATATATATATATATATATATATATATATATATATATATATATATATATATATATATATATATATATATATATATATATATATATATATATACATATATATATATATATATATATATATATATATATATATATATATATATATATATATATATATATATATATATATATATATATGCGAACAAGCCTAAATGGTCCCCATGACTATATGCAACTCAAAAACTTACACCCCAGAAGTGACTCGAACCCATACTGCCGTGAGCAACGCAACTGGTATGTACAGGACGCCTTAAACCACTTGACCATCACGACCGGACATAAGGAAGTGATAGCCGAAGCTATTTGAACCACTTCCCCGCCGGCACTCGGATGTTAATCTTGGGCATAGCATTTCGTATTTGTGTTCCTCACGTATGCTCCAAAGAATGAGGCGATTTGATAAAATGCTATGCCCAAGGTTTCCATCCGAGTGCCAGCGGGGAAGTGATTCAAATAGCTGCGGCTATCACTTCCTTATGTCCGGTCGTGATGGTCAAGTGGTTTAAGGCGTCTTGTACATACCAATTGCGTTGCTCCTGGCAGTATGGGTTCGAGTCACTTCTGGGGTGTGAGTTTTCAGTATATATATATATATATATATATATATATATATATATATATATATATATATATATATATATATATATATATATATATATATATATATATATATATATATATATATATATATATTATTAAATGACCGAAAAAGTAAGATTAATAATTCTAACACGAATTTTCTCTGTTTCTTATATTTCTTTTCACTGTTGATGGTAACTGAAAAAGCAATTCTCCAAAATTCATATTTATTTCTAGTCTGACGCGACACTTGAACGTGTTTTTGTAAAACTTATTACATTTTCAAAGACTTTAGTTTACACACACACAACTATAACTGAACAGAGTTTAAACAGCCTCGATTTTATACCTGCATTTGGATGAGGTGATATGTTACAACAGTTTTGGATGAGGTGAAAACAAACTTTCAACACAAGACAGAACACGAAACAATGGGTATAATATTTTGTAAGTTAAAGGGAAGAATGGAAGTAACTGCAAAGGGCCTATTGGCCCATATTTCTTGATGCTTCTATATTGGTACAGAGTCTTGAAGTGGGTAGAATATAGTTGTGCATTAATTGGCTGTTGATTGCTGGTGTCGATTTCTTAATGTGTAGTGCCTCGCAGATATCAAGCCGCCTGCTATCGCTGTATCTATCGATGATTTCCGTGTTTTTTGTTAAGACTTCTCTGGTATTGGTCTGGTTGTGGGAAGAGATTATATGTTCCTTAATGGAGCCCTGTTGCTTATGCATCGTTAATCGCCTGGAAAGAGATGTTGTCTTGCCTATATACTGAATTCTTTGAGGCTTACAGTCCCCAAGTGGGCATTTGAAGGCAAAGACGACATTGGTCTCTTTTAAAGCGTTCTGCTTTGTGTCTGGAGAGTTTCTCATGAGTAGGTTGGCCGTTTTCTTGGTTTTATAGTAGATCGTCAATTGTATCTTCTGATTTTTGTCTGTAGGGATAACGTTTCTATTAACAATATCTTTCAGGACCCTTTCCTCCGTTTTATGAGCTGTGGAAAAGAAGTTCCTGTAAAATAGTCTAATAGGGGGTACAGGTGTTGTGTTAGTTGTCTCTTCAGAGGTTGCATGGCGTTTCACCTTCCTTCTTACGATGTCTTCAACGAAACCATTGGAGAAGCCGTTGTTGACTAGGACCTGACTTACCCTACAGAGTTCTTCATCGACTTGCTTCCATCCTGAGCTGTGGCTGACAGCACGGTCGACATAAGCGTTAACGACACTCCTCTTGTACCTGTCTGGGCAGTCACTGTTGGCATGAGGCACATTCCTATGTTTGTTTCCTTAGTGTAGACTGCAGTGTGGAAACCTCCGCTCCTTTCCATGACTGTTACATCTAGAAAGAGCAGCTTCCCATCCTTCTCCATCTCGTAAGTGAAACGCAACACAGAATTCCGCTCAAATGCCTCCTTCAGCTCCTGCAGATGTCTGACATCAGGTACCTGTGTAAAAATGTCGTCAACATACCTGCAGTATATGGCCGGTTTCAAGTTCATGTCGACTAAAACCTTTTGCTCGATGGTACCCATGTAGAAGTTCGCAAACAGGACACACTATGGGTTCCTGTTCGCAAACAGGAACCCATAGTGACTCCATCTACTTGCTTATACATGTGCCCATCCGGGCTCAAGAAGGGTGCCTCTTTAGTACAAGCTTGGAGTAGTTTCCTTAGAATCTTTTCTGGTATGTCAAGAGGAGTACAGGCCGGATCCCGATTGTTTCATCCACAGGTACGTTGGTAAACAGTGATTCTACGTCCAACGAGGCTCTTATCCCTGTGGCCCGTGTTCCCCGCAGTAAGTCAACAAATTCCTCTGGAGACTTCAAGCTGAAGGTGCAAGGGACGTAAGAAGTCAGCAAGCCGTTGAGTCACTTCGCCAGTCTGTACGTGGGTGTGGGTATCTGGCTAAATATTGGCCGAAGTGGGTTTCCAGGCTTATGTGTCTTGACATTTCCATACGCGTATCCAGGCTTATATTCCCCAATAATCTTTGGCAGGTGGAGTCCGGATTTCTTGGCGTTCACAGTTTCGATCAATTTGTTGACCTTTGCCTTCAATTCGGCTGTAGTGTCCTTCGTTACCCTTCGGAATTTAGTTTGGTCAGAGAGAATGAGGTTCATTTTTGCCAGATATTCGTCTTTTTTAAGAATGACGTATATTGGCGACTTGGCACCTCTTCTGACAACTATCTCCTTGTTCTCACGAAGGCTCTTAGCTGCCGCTTTGAGCTCGGGGGACAGTTTGGTGCTTCTGTAATTGCCTCGTTTCTTTCCTCCTTCCGCAATAAGTTCTGCTTGTAAGGTGTCTTTGGTGGTGACCTCCTTTTGTGTCTCGATGTCGAATATGTCTTCCAACAAGATCTCCAACTCCACTTTCCGGGCCATATCACTTGGTCTGGACATAACGTGACAATTTATACCCAGATTTAGGAAAGTGACTTGGTCCTCAGTGAAAGGAGGAAAGAATCGAGGCAATTACAGAAGCACCATACTGTCCCCCGAGCTCAAAGCGGCAGCTAAGAGCCTTCGTGAGAACAAGGAGATAGGTATGTCTAATTTGGGGGTGCTCTCGTCTCTGTATACTCTGTCCAGTATCATTCCTATGGTTGTGTCGACTGGGACATTGGTAAATAGGGATTCGATATAACAATTCAATATAACAGGCCAATTACACCTGATTAATCTTTGTATGTAGATAGGAGCTGCCTCGTATGGGCCAATAGGCCTTCCGCAGTTACCTTTATTATTATGTTCTTATGTGCCTCCCCCCATTTATCCCTTATGTATCCCCGATGTTTTTACCTTTATTGTCTTATCACCTGACCCAGTGTGGGTATAAATCAACCAGTTCTGAAAATTCTTTTCACTTGAGAATGAACCATGGAGGTTCGAAAAGTTGTGCAAATTGTATAAATAAGTGTAATACATTCTATAGTAATTCACTTTTTTCTTCACCTTGATATTACGAAAATGAGTTGGAGAACTCCTCTTTCAGCTAAGCCCTGATGCTAAGAAAACAGTTAGAGGGATAGAAGCCCTAAATCAGAAGATAGTAAATACAGAATATGCGGTCATATTCAATGAGACATGTTTAAAAGAAAATCTGCTGCCAGTATACACCAATATTTTATATATATATATATATATATATATATATATATATATATATATATATATATATATATATATATATATATATATATATATATATATATATTTTTTTTTTTAATACCTAGAAGGGGTACCACCTCTGGTGCAAGTGTAGGGACCCATAGCCTCGGAGAAGAAAATAAAGAGTTTTTATATAGTTTAGTTTAAGTTTTGTTTATAAGTCTTAAGTCTTTGTTTATAGAAGAGTTTAGTTTAAATTTATATATATATATATATATATATATATAATGTGTGTGTGTGTGTTTGTGTATATCATGGAAATAAACACGTGATTAAAAATGTGAGTGTCAGACCACGGAGGAAAATTGAAACAGGAATTTCCTTAAGTACTTTCGTATATTAATACTTCTTTAGAAGGAGTGGTTTTACAGGTCGAGTACTGGACATAAATAGGCAGGAGAGAATGGTGGAGTGAGGTGAGGTACAATAAGTGGACACAAATATGAGCCGCACAAAAACTGTAGAGGGCCTATTGGCCCATCCGATGCAGCTCCCATTCATAACCACACACATGGATAATCATAGCATAAGATAGTAAATATTTACAATGAATTAGTGAGACAAATGTGTTCCAATGACCCTACTTAAATCACCCTTTAACTTAGATCTATTTTTAATAGATCAATTAACGGGCGATTTTAGATCTAAATTATATAAACCACTGCTAATGTTCACATTACTTTCTTTTGTAATCTGTATCAAAGCAGATTCAATTATAACCTATAACAGAAACATAATTGAACCTGCTTTGATACAGATCACAAAAGAAAATAATTTGAACATTAGCAGTGGTTTATATAACTTAGATCCATTTTTAATAGATCAATTAAAGGGGGATTTAAGTAGGATCATTGGAACACATTTGTCTTAATGTTAGCATAAGTAAAACTCTGTTTAGTGTTTTCAGCTTACAGTTGTGTGTGTGTAAACTAAAGTCTTTGAAAATGTAATAAGTTATTACGAAACGCATTCAAGCGTCGCTTCAGACTAGAAATAAAAATGAATTTTGGAGAATTGATTTTTCAATTACCATCGACAGTAAAAAGAAACATAAGAAATATTGAGAAAATTCGTGTTAGAATTATTAATCTTACTTTTTCGGTCATATGTAACTTTATATATATATATATATATATATATATATATATATATATATATATATATATATATATATATATATATATATATTTGTAGTCATCCTCTAACTATTCAAAGTTTTCCATGATCTATCATCTCATTAAACCAAATACCCGCATTAGTTGAGTAGCAAATTATACTCACAGCAGCTTCAACAAGAAAACCCCAGCAGCATTCTCCATTAGTGATATTTCTTCCTCCCAAACGTTATTCAGCTTATTCATTACAGAGTCCACATTTGGTTCAGGTCTTTCCTGAAAGTAAATAAGTAATTAGCAAAAGAAGGCACCAAGCCGAGAAGGATACGTAGCTCCATCAAATGTGCGGGATATTTAAAAGGCATTAAATATCAATAAGGACGTTAATACGAAAACAAAAGCACATAAGCCAAACAATATCACAAGTATCTGATTCACCAAGAATTCTATTGAGGGACAAGTGACCGAGAGGGAAGGTCGGGAAGCAAGACACATACGCACTTCCTAAAAGTCTGGACATTCAATAAGGACGTGCAGGACCATAAGAGGAACAATGCAGTTTGGAAAATATGGAGCAAGGTGGCGCTCCTATAAGTGCCTGCGAGTTAAATATGAATGAACAATATGTAAACTCACAAGAGTCGTTTCCCACTGCCGGTTACAGTGGCAGGAGGAAGGCTATGGGGACACACTACCCATTAGAACACGCAGTTTGTTACCAGTAACAGAAGATCAACGACCCTGCCCACGGGGAAGGATTGAAGAATGAATAACTTTGTAAAAGTCGGAATAAGAAACACCTTTACGGGATATGGGATAAGTACGGATAGCCTTCTTAGTAGCAGTGTCCGCATGCTTATTTAAGGACATGCAAATATGAATGAAAACCCAGCAAAACTCCACTGTATTAACCCTCAAACCGCTAGGGGCCCAAATGGAATTCACACCCACAGGCGCAACAAAAAAAAAAAATCCAAAAAATTCTTTCGTCTTATAGAAGTGTTCATTTTTGTTCCCTGATCACGGAAAAAATAACAAAAAAATCGTATGTGGCATATTTTAGCCGCAATAGGGTAGGGAAGTGGGGGTCTAAAAAGGGGCGTTGGCAGAGCCTTCGCCAGATGAGGTCTACTCCGCCCGAGCTGTCAGACGGCAGTTGCCACAAATATATTATTACCTAATTATTTCAATGTCTCTGATTGATTTTTTCTTAGTTTTTTTGCAGTAATATTATTCCATACAGTGAATTGTGGTATATTTATATTATAAAATGTGTGAACCATCGCTGTACTCAAAATTATGGTGTGCATATTAGTGATTCAATTATTATGTTCATAAAACAATAAACAAATAGTTTTGCTGTTGTTACACTATATACACAGGTTATATATAAGTATTTGCATGTTTTGTACACCATAACCAACTACTAAGTTGGTCTTGTGAGTCAAAAAGCAACGAGGAGTGACCGCCAAACACCAGCGAGCCACTCACTGCCACTCCCTCCCTCAACACCACCTCACTCACCCTCATTCACCTCCTACAATACTCTTTCTGTATTTATTCACTATACACAGACGTTATATATATACGTATTTACATGTTTTGTTCACCATAACTGTACATCTAAGCTTGTATGGTGAGTAAAGGCCACAAAGACGTAGCTACTCACACAGTCAGCTGATCGGCGGCCGCCCTCAAGGCCAGACGCACTAATATTTGTCCTTCAACAATATTGTTTGTGGTGTTATTACGCTATATACACATATTATATATAAGTATCTACCTGTTTTATTCACCATACCTGAACAAATTAGCTGGTATGGTGCCCAAAGACCATAGTGGCCATCAGTAAACACCATGCCAAGACGTGCAGACGACACTCCTCCCTCACCAAAATGGCGGCTCCCAACCTACTCCTCTCGCTGTTATCACACTCTATACACACGTTATATATAAGTATCTACATTTGTGTTCACCATATCGAACCACTAAGCTGGTATGGTGAATGCAGTCAATAAATGGTGGCCCCACACAGTCAGAAGATGACGCCACAACCCTCCCTCGCACAGCCTTACGCCTCCCTCCATGGAGCACAGCGCTAAATATCACCACAATCCTGCTATTATCAGAATCCTGGTCAGTTTTATCAGTCAGGGGGCTTCAGTAATATGATCACTGCTAAATAATAGCAGTATCATATATATTATGGTATTTGTAGGCGATGCTGTGGTCACAAGCTGAACAGCGGTGCTGTGAACTCGTGCTGCGTGCGCCAGCCTTGGTGGCTTGCTCAATACTGACGCTGTAACACCCAAGAATGTGGGCCTGGATTTTTTTTCTAGGTGGCATCTGGCAACTATCGGTCGTGGCTGTACTATAGCTGCCCCTATCCCAGGCGGGGAGTTTAAATTATAGTGCTAGACACGAAATCATATATAAATGATGTGCGCGGTTTCGGTTTTATTTTATATGATATGCGCGGTTTGAGGGTTAAATCTGGTGGAGATAAGAAACTGCCAATGTTGAATTTCGACGACCACAAGATGGACTGGATTAAAGGACTCCAGAGCCATGAGAGCACTGCCAGTCAACTACAACAAGGGCAAGATTATTATCGAGAAAGCAGTTGATGAAGAGCATACAAAATAGCATTATGTTCTAGCGTGAAGATGCTAGTCTCTGTAGCAAGCTACACATACAGTATCAGCAGAGTAACCTACACTGTCTAAAGACAAAGTAAATAAGAGTAAAAATACAGCAAATCAAGCATGTTTAATGTTTGATTTGTCTTAACTCAATTTGTCTTAATATCGATACATGGAAATATTACTATTGGTGCGAAAATTCAGACATTCAAATTCTTTCTGTTAAAATATGCTAAATAAAATGTATCCTTCCAGTAAATTTTAACTAACACTTTACAGCAGACTTCATCATCCAGAAAACCTAGCAAATTGTGTTAATACAGTACATAGTAACGCAATTACTGTACTTCCCTCTTCTACTTAGTTATAAATGTTGCAGTTACTTTATAGTTTTAGACTGGACGCAAATTACCACGATGAATCACAACAAATAATGACAAAGCTAATATTTTGCAACGAAAAACTTTCTTATTATATTAAGAGCTTTCAAGTTTTACTTTCCTGAGTGACCGAATGAAGATATAATAATAAAAAAAAAAAAAAAAAAAAAAAAAAAAAAAAAAAAAAAAAAAAAAAAAAGTGTAAGTTAAAATTAAGGAGCTGTGCAGCAAGTGTGTTGGCCCATATAAGGTCCATTTATTACTACGCCTCTCACTCATACGTTTATCCACCTTACTGTTCACTTCTCTTAAACGGCATTCATCCACAATGGCTACTTTCCTACATACTAAACAGTATTTATCTAATTTGCAACAAGTTTTGTTGGTATTTTCCTATATACTTGCTAAACAGAATTTACCTAGTTTGTACCCAGGTTTGTTGATACTTTCCTATATAATTTTGCTAAACAGTATTTATCTAGCTTGTACCCAGTTTTGTGGGTACTTTCTTATATACTAAACAGTAGATATCTAGTTTGTATCCAGCTTTATGGATACTTTCATATATACTTGCTAAACAGCGTTTATCTAGCTTGTAACCAGTTTTGTGGATAGTTTCTTAAATACTTGCTAAAGAGTATTTATCTAGCTTGTACCCAGTTTTGCGGCTACTGACCTGCTACGACACTTTCACAAACCTCTTACCACCTCCCTGGTTCTTCACGTGAAAAACCTCAATCATATTCTGGCCTTATCCTGCCTGCTTCAGCGAGTGTACCGAGTCATTACTATGTCCATTCAGCAAGATAGCAACCACAAGTGTACATCGCAGTCCAAAGTGAGCCTTATCAGTGTTGGACAAAAGTGGGGGATGACGTTGTCTGGTGCTGATGATTCTTACTACAAATCCCAGCACCTGGCTGCTTATTTCCTGCATTAATGTACTGCTACTTTGAACTTGTTAACTATGACTCCCAGGGCATGGCCATGACTGTATTATTAGTAAAGTATAAAGCACCGTTGTATTTCCATAGGTAAAGCAATTTACATCTCAATGATAAACCGCTTTTGTCAATTTTAGAGCCAGTGCTAAACTTTGTTGAATCCCTTTGCAGTTCTTGCAAGTATTCTCTTGCATTCACTTCACACCCCACCTTTGTCACTAACAATCTTGCTTACATTACTTCTCACTCTATTATCTAGGTCGTTGAGGCAAATTATGCAAGTTTTCGATCACTTCCAGGCGTTCCTTTGCCTTTGAGTTAACCGTGTTTAATGTCCAGTGTGTTTCCCCCAGAGGTTAGTCTCCAGTGAACCGCTCCGAGGACATTACCAGGTGGGAAGTAAGTAAGTAATTATCAAAAGAAGGCACCAAACTGGGAAGGCTATGTAGCACCATCAAATGCGCAAAATAATCAGAGGGCGCTAAATATCACCAAGGATGCCAATACGAGAACAAAAACGCATAAGTCGAACGATATCAAAAGTATCCGAGTCACCAAGAATTCTATTGAGGGACAGGTGACCGCGAGGGGCGGTCGGAAAGCAAGACACACGCTCGTCCTGGAAGTCAGGACATTCAAGAAGGACATGCACGACCGTAAGAGGGACAATGCAACTAGGACAATAAGGAGCAGGGCGGCGCTCCATCAAGTGACCATGGGTTAAGCGAGTATGGCCAATACGCAATCTCGCCAGAGCTGTTTCCCACCGCCGGTTACGGTGGAAGGAGGACGGCCACGAGGAAACACAACATTTAAGAGTACGTAGCTTGTTACCAGTAAGAGACAACCAAGAAGCCTGCCAACGGGTAAGGACTGAGGAATGGATAACCGGGTAAAAGTCGGAATACGGAATGCCTTTACGAGAGATGGGACAAGAGCGGACAGCTTCCTTGGCGGCAGCATACGCACGCTCATTTAAAGACACACCAATATGGCTGGGAACCCAACAAAACTCAACCGACTTAAATTTACTGTGAACAAGAAACAGCCAATGCTGGATCTCGACAACTTCTGGATGAACCGGATTAAAGGACCCGAGAGCCATCAGGGCACTACGAGAGTCAACAACAACTACAAAGGAGGACTGACAACGAGAAAGCAGGAGACGAAGAGCATAGAGAATAGCATAAAGTTCCGCTGTAAAGATGCTAGTCTCCGGAGGTAAGCGACACATGTAAGTGCGATCAGGAAAAACAAGAGAGTAGCCAACACCGTCCGCAGACTTAGACCCATCGGTGAAGACAGAA